AGGCGTTTCCTGGAGAGTTCCGGGGCCAGCATGGCTCCGAGTGGGAAATGCACAACATTTCCTGCCTTTGTATGCGCAGCACCCACAGAAACACAGACCATGGCCCTAACGAACATGTCATCAGGCTGCAAAATTACGGCCCAGGGCAAATATTCACAAGTGGTATTAAGAGCTTTCTTCTGTTCTTTTGAGGCTTATGCCTCTGGAATGAAATGAATAGTTTTAAGGGTTATTTACAATTTAGGATGTATTCTATAAGTACTGATGAATTCTACAAGAATTCAGAGCACGCGCAGTTCAGAGTGAGATTTAATAAGCAGAGCAAGCCCTAAACAAGTGCAGCTACATCTTAGTGGTGGCTCTGTGATAAACTGAGGTGAGACGACAGTGCAAACGTGGAGGGCTTATTTTCACATGGGAAGGGACAATAATTTTGCTGGTAGGGAGTACTCCAACCTTGTGGCAAACTGGAGAGTTTCAGCATGTATCCAGCGCAGAATTAAAGCTGTGATCCGAGATGTGGTTCTTTCTCTGTAATCCAAAATCCTGCAGGCTTCCTGCAACATAAGGTCTCGTTACACATGATTGTGGATAAATACTGCAGTTCAGGGAAAATTTAATACAGACTTAACAAACTCCTGTGACATTTATACTACTTTTATGAGTTTATTATTGTACTTCAGGATGGTGAAGGCCTGCCACAACACACCTGTTTGATCTCCAGACAATTGCGGACCTCACTGGAGGAACCTGAAGGGACAACGCAACGTTCCTGTGGCTGGTGGCTGTTGAATCAGCAGAAATCCCCAAACACTGCCAAGTTCTGAGCAGGTTTCTCTGGAAACCGAGCGCCAAGGCAGCAGGTCATCGACTGCATTTCAGGTGTCCACCCACACATGTATGAAGAGAACATACAAAAAGGGAACAAAACGAGCAGACAGCACTAACGTGGACCTAGAAAAGAACGAGGGACAGCGTGCACACCGAGGAGCGTCTCTACACCAAATGTTTTTGGTTGGTTGTGCCAAACCCAAGGAAGCAGGACCCTACAGATGGTCTTTGTAAAAAGCCAGCATTGCACTCACGATTTTAACCTGGCTTTGCTTGTACCTTTTTTAATCGCTTCCTTTCCCTTCCTTTTTTCTTCCACTTTGCCTATTTCCCCCCTTTTTGCAGCACACCCACACCACAAGAAGCAGGGTACCAGCATCCACAGCCTTCGCACCCCCTGCCCATCCCACCCACGCTGTGTGCTGGGCGTTCCTCTCACCATCAGCCCCTCAGAGCAGGGCCGCGCACTATCGCACTTGCACGGCCCAGAGGCCATCAGGCCCCGCTCCCGGTTTGGCAGTCCTGCCGCCAAGCGGGTCATTATAACAATAATCATAAAGATGATCAGGAATCGCCTCGTCGCTTTCTCTCTCTGATACGAAGGACCCGCCTGCGCGCTGGCCCCAGGCAGGCGCTGCTGGGCCGGGACGCCTCACC